GAAAGAGTGGTTCATTCTGAGAAAAGCTGAAAATAACTTTTGCAATTAGCGACATGCGTTATCTCTTTTCGTTTATTCGATAAAACCGATAAACGTACCGATAAAGCCGCAAAGAATAATTGTTCGCAATCCATAAGCCGATAATTCGAGCGCATACTTCGTCGCATACTTCACTCGGATTAAAAATGCGATATTTCTTACCTGTAGAACTTCCAGTTTCTGAAACAGAGAAACAAACGATCGTGTTTAGCATCGATATCACTTTCTCCAACGAAGTTGCGTTTCATTTGTATTTTACCGCAGCCTTTTAATAAATAATAGGGGGACACAAAGCATTCGCAAACGTGATGACTACGAGGAACCATAGGGGGTACGCGTGACAGGTAAAATGGTTTAGCACTTTGTACTCATAGATGTATATCGTGTGAAGTGAAGAAAATTCGACGATTTGAGAAAAATAACTTCGAGTTTCGTATCAAAATTAAAAAAAAAAATTATTCGTACCTTCCTGGAACCTGGTTTGTCGATACCGTTCAGTCGGTTGTCGGGTACATCCTTGAAAATGATTGGAAAAAAATTTGGTCAATTTCTGGGGCTTCGAAAAAGATTGTCCTTGGTAAAAATATAGCGTAGACGCGTTTTAGATAAGGCGAGAAAAAATTAATCGACTCGAAAGAATTCGTCGAGTGAAAAGGTAATCTAGATTATATACGTGTTCGTGTAAATACGTGTAGCGTGTGTGCGTGTACCTCTACTCGTGAAATTGTTTCTGATTGCGAATCTGCTTCCTCGACAATTGGCTCTGCGATGCTGGACTCGATTACACTCACCGCTTCCTCCTCGTTCTCGTCCTCCTCCGAATACTCTTCCTCCGATTCCTCCGGCACGCTTCTCTCGTAATCGTCCCAGATCGGGCTTTTTACCTTTTGCATCGCAATATCGAAATGCGTTTCAAAACAGCCGAATTATCGCGGAAAAAATTGTAACCGAAGGAAAAATGAGTTTTCTTCCCGATCCGGCGACGCTTTTCCTTCGACTTCGACGGAAACGAATTTAACTCTGTGTTCGTGAGAATTTGTGTGCTCGGTGTGTACGAAGGGATAATTGTTCGTTACAGGCAGACAAAAGGGTGGGCATAGCAAAGGGAAACAAAACCGGTTAAACAAAGAAACGATAGGATAACAGAATTTGCTACCTTCTCTTCTTTCTTTTCTTCCTTCTTCTCTTCTTTCTTTTCGACCTTCTTCTCTACCTTCTTCTCCTCTTTCTTCTCTTCCTTCTTCTCCTCTTCCTTCTTCTCGACCTTCTTCTTCTTCTTCTCTTCCTCCTCCTCCTCCTCCTTCTTCTCTTCCTTTTTCTACGATACGTACGATAATAGGAAAATGCATGCAACATTCAGGGACATATATGTATCTGTCTCAATCACTATGAATTTGATATTGGAACGAATTCTCGACAGGGGGCAGAGGGTGAGATCCTCTGTGACACTTTGAACGTGGATCACGATTAACTGGTGACATTGGAGGGTACAGTCGTACGTTCAAGTGTACGTTCGATTTCTTGGAAGTTTCTTACCTTGACGACTAATCGGGCAGAGGACTCGTCCTGGCCGTAATCGTTGCTGACAACAACTTTGTAGGTTCCAGAGTACGAAGTAGAAGCAGACGTGATGGTCAGTTTCATATCTGTGCCGTTGAAGGATATCATTATGTCCTTGGAGGCTTTGACTTGCGTGGAATCTCTGAAAAGACGAAGGTCCGTTACGCGTAAACGATAGGAAGGAAATTGATAACCTTGAGGGATAATAAGTTTCACTCGTTTACCTGTACCACGTAATGGTAACTTTGCGGTCCAGCTTCGAGAGACTAGCTACAAGTTCGATCGATTTGCCCTCCTCGATCGTCTAAAATACGACAGACAGACGTTTCGAAATTTGGTACAAGCTGGATGAATAGTTGGAAAGCGAGTAGAAATTTGGTATAGAAGTTACCGCCGATTTCAAACCGGATGCTATCTTGGGCTTCTCTCCCTCTTCCATAATGTCCGTCACTTCCACCACTTGGGACGTTGCCTCTCCTTTCTCGTTACGGGCCACTAATTTGTATATACCCTTGTCGGAAGCTGATACCTGTTCGATCTCTAGCTTCACGGCGAATTCTCCCTGCGAGCGAAAAGTTGGTTAGCTTCCATCTATCGATTCGAAAATAATCAAAAATATAGATTTTTCGTTGTCGCGTACCTCTTTCACTTGCTCCACGTGAACTTTGTGCCTGGTGTCTTCTTTCACGGCTTTGGATTCCTTGAACCAAGTGCATTCTGGCGAGAATTTGGAAAGCACGTGGCACTCGACGATCACCGTCTTCTTCTTCACGATCTTCACGACCTTTGGCTTCTCCTTGATCACGGGTACGACTGAAACGATTGAACGGGAACCGTTTGAATGGATTTAACCACGGTTGACTGTTAGACAATGGGGTGTAGAATGTCGAGGAACTCGATACTCACTTTCGACGTTGAGCGTCAAATTGGCGTTTAGTTCACCGAGGTCGTTCTTGATGTTGCATTTGTACAAGCCAGAGTCTTCGGAGCCAGGATCGTTCAACGTCAGCTTGATGTAATAAATGTCTTCCTTTTCTTGAACGATGCTGATGGAAATTTTCGAGGACTCCTTCACCACCTTGCCAGCGTGGGTCCATACGATTTCGGGTTTCGGTTTCGCCTTCACTTTGCAGTCCATTATCACGAGTTTACCCTGGTTCTGGGATTGAATGCGTGGCTTCTCCACGAAGGTCGGTCCGTCGCCTTCGGGTTCGGGTTCTGCCTCGATGTTCAGGTTCAAATTCGCGTTACTTTCGCCGTATTCATTTTTCACGTGACACCTGTAAGTGCCACCGTCCGGCGCGGAGGGATCCTGCGAAACGGATTCGTTCGATGATCGTTTTATTCGAGACGAAAATCGTAATCGTCGAGAAAACATGGTGTAAAATTTTGCACAGGTTACCTTGATCTCCATGATCAACTCGTACACGTCCTCCTCCACGGTTTTCGTCTTGATCGAAATCTTGGATGATTCCTTGACGACATTGGTCCCACGGAACCACGTGACTTCCGGCTTCGGGTTCGCCTTGCACTTGCACTTCATCGTGATCAAGGTACCGGTTTCGTTTGGAATGATACGGGGTTTCTCGACGAACGTCGGTGCGAAACCAGGTCCTTCTTCTGCATCTTGGAAAGATCCACGGTTAAGCAGGGTCGTGATTTAGGGAGTCGACTTCCGGCCGGTGGCGAACGGAAGCGACTCAGCCGAACCGCGACTCTCGTCGAGATTCCACTTCGACGAGAGTCGCGTTCGAACTGTCGAGGAGGGTTCGGTGTGTTTGGCGTTAGTAAAGTTCGATGATGTCAGTTTTCTACTTTTCCATCCTGCTGTGAATTCTCGAGCATCTCTCGGTCGAATTTCGACCGAGGATTTGCGTAGTTACAGAAGCAACGAGAGATGGACTCTGCGATTAGTTGGCGGTAGCGCAATCGTCATGCACTTACCTTCCCTTGGACACGGCGTGGAAACTTGAAACTTGTTCTTATCTGTACGTACACGCGAATGACCCGGACGTATTCTTCGGACGATTATCTTAATTATTTGAATCATCTTTCGATCCGAGTACGATAAGAAAAACGTGCTAGGATAGGTGAATGACCGAAGTTTCAGAGGGACCGTCTCGTTCGGCTCCCCGCCAGTTGTCGAAAAAAAAGGAAAAAAATACGGAAAATCGTGGACCGTTTGAGAGAAATATTTGCTCGCGTGGTAAAAGTGAGAAGACAGAGGAGCAGGAGCCAACGAGAGTCGCACTGTCTGTCGCATGGTGGAGGACTTGCCTTGGAAGTTGAGAGAGATGTTGGCGTTACTCTCGCCGAAGTTGTTAAACGCGTTGCATCGATAATTTCCGCCGTCGGCCTTGGTCGGATTCGAGATCTCGAGCGTGAGCAAATAAGTGTCCTTTCCGGTCGCCTTGCGTGACATCTTCACGCGTTTGCTGTCGGTGATCGGTTTCTGGCCTTGGTACCACGTTATATCCGGTACCGGGTGTGCTTCCAAGATACACTCCATAATCAACACGTCCCCTTCTTGTCGAATAGTTGGCTTCTTTGGGAAACGCGGTGGTTTACCGTCTGGTATTCTGCGTAAATCGACACGTCAGATACTCGGATCGACTCTCCGTCACGCGGAGACTCAATCTGCGTCGGAGACCAAGTTGCGCGTTCGTTCTTCGAGTCCTGCGGTTCGTCGCGTCGCTAGAGATCCTCGAAAAGCTCGAAGTTACTTTGCATTACCATCGCGGTGGAAAAAATCGGCCGGAAAAAGGAAAAGAAAGTCTCTCGATTGGAATCCAGCGACGCGACGAGCACCCGCGACTCAAAGGATCGTTGATGCATACTTTAGCTTGTCACCCCCCTCGAAGTTCAAGTTAATCGTGGCTACACCCTGGCCGTGCTTGTTCTTCGCCAGGGCTCTGTATTCCCCGGCGTCGCCTTTCGCCACATTGTCGATCTTTAACCTCGCGAGGTGGTACAGCTTCTGATCGAGTTCCAACGACATGCTGTATCTTCCGCCTTCTTTCACCTCGTCGGTACCGTGATACCTAATTCGTGCCCATCAAACCATCGCGTGTTCGTGAGTGCATTCGAAAGGTGACTCGCGATCGGAAGTACGGGACGATTTTCTAAGGGGATTACGATTTCTAGCGAAATTTTCTCCTTTTCTCGCTCATCCAGGGAGCGAGAATGAGAAACAGAGAAAGAGATGGAAAGAGCATGCTGTGAAGAGAGAGAGAGAGAGAGAGAGAACTACGAGGTACGGTTTTACTCTGTATACTCGTGTCTCGACTGGACGTACTTCCTTAAGTGTGGACGTGCACGCAATCTTACCACTTGACACTCGGTTTCGGGTCGCCGACTAATCGACATTCGAAGGTGATGGTGTTACCGTCGTCGGATTGCCTTATCACCGGTCGTTCGGTGAAGGTCGGTTTAATACCGTCGTCAGGTACGGGCGCCTCGTCGCCTATGTTCATACACAAACGATCTACGTGTCGAGATCCTTTTTAAATTATCTTTGCTGCCGCTTAATCCCTTCGCACCCTTATATCGCATCTGGTACTTTGCGACCAGGCAACCAGCGCACGGTTCTCAACCGTACAGCTCAGTCTGGTTGCGGAAGGTTTAAGCCCTTCGATCCAAGGTCAGAGCTACGTATCGATTCCAAGTGCCGCTATATCTTCCGCTTTCTCTAAAAACCGCTCGCACTTGCTTATCACTTTCCCTCGAAACAGATTTGCCTATCAAACCGACATCTCCTACCTTAGGTTGCTTTATTTACCGTCCTTGCGTTTATTCGTTCCTATTAGTTTCTTTTTTCTCTTTTTTTATTTTTTTTTTTTTTTTTTTTTTTTAAACCTGTGCGTTACCCTTTCTCTCCTGGCTCGTCTTGTCCTGTCTTGTTTCGTCCGCGCGATCGCCGCGTGTTTCAACGAACGTGCAAAGAGTATGTAACGTGTTTGCGACGTAGCGTTTCCTTCTCGACGTGTTACGTTTGTCCTCTTTTCTCTGTTATTCGTGCACATGTTTGTTACAACGAAGACAAGCTTCACGTACGTTTATCAGTGCATAAAGTCTTTAGTAAGCGCGACAATTGGTTAAGCGAGTTAAAGAATAAGTGTGATCGAAAGTATGTATATCTACACACGTTTCTTCTGTTACCATCGAGTTTCTTTTAGTATCTAGTCGCTACTCTCTTAAAACACACCTGAGACGAACACACGCGTACATTTGCGTACGTCAGTATCGATTACTATCGCTTTCGTGTCGCGCGATATTGCGTCAGTGATGCACACGTAAAACACCGTTTGTGCCGATGAAGAGAAAAAAAGAAAGAAAAGTGTACGTGACTGTAGCAACCTAACGAAGCGTCAGCATGAGGCGACCCGCATCCCATGCACCGATTTCATCCGTCTAGATCATGATCCGATCGACGAGATCGTCGATTCCGGCTACGCGAGCCGTAGCAGCGAGTCTGATCGGATGCGTGGAATGCCAATCGAAATTAATCAGTGATTCAAGCAGCTTTTCGTTACGGATTAATCATAGTCTCATCTGCGATCTATGCTCTCGATCTATGCCAACTCCTGACAACTCCTTTCGCTTTTAGTGTTCCTTTCGTATTAAAAGAATCGCTTTTTTGGGCTGTATATCGTCGCTCCGTCGAGCCGACAATCGATACGTGCTCATTGCTCGACCGAGATAAATCATTAAAAAATAAATGTCACACGTACGGATGAAGACAAAATATGGAGAAGAAAAAAAAAAGAGTGAGGTGAACGAAGAGAAAAAATAAAGAATAAAAGAGAGAGAGAGAGAGAGAGAGAGTGTGTGTGTGCAGGTCGAAGAAGGGGAAACGGCGAGAAACGGGAAGAAGAGACTGAAAGAAAACCGGAGACGTAGAATCGAAGATAGAGGATCACCGATATACATCCCGAATTAGTAAAGACAGAGAAAAGTGAGAAGTTAGGCGATCATCGATCGGTTCGCGTTTCTTCTTTACCGAGCGAAACGACGAGTGCCGAGATCGAGGCAATTTCGATCGCGATCGATCCCCACTCGAGACGTAGAAGAAACGCAAACAAGTCGATGTTCGATGATCGAACACGTAGACAGCGACAAACATAACAGATCTTTTATTATACTTACTATCGAAATTTAGGGAAATAGTGGCATTGGATTCGCCGAGCTCGTTCTTCGCGGTGACCTTATATTTACCAGCATCCTCAACGGTCACGTTTTTGATCTCCAGAGTCGCGAAGTACGAGTGGCCATCTTTGTCGACGGTGAGCTGAAATTTTTCATCGTCTATGAGCGTCGGGATAGGTGCTTGAGCGAACGGACAAAGGTGCAGAAGGATCGGGAGACTGACCTTATGCCTCGGTGAATCTTTGACCATATTCCCATCGTGAAACCACGTTACTTTTGGCGTGGGATCAGCCGTGATACGACATTCGAAAAGTAATCGTTTACCATCGTCTTCTTGTCTGATTGCAGGCTTCTTCGCAAAAGTTGGCGCGATTCCATCGATTTGTCTAGGACGAGTGCGGATGAGAGTTTAAACTCGGTGGAAAAGCGCGAGTCTCGTCGGTGAGAAAGAAAAACAAATCACACGTGCAAACGCTGGGACAATATCGACTATCGTCGTGCTCGTTACGATAAACACAGTCTCGCAGCATACGTTAGCAGGCGCAGTGCGATTATCAGTGGGACAGGTCGGTATTTGGTCAGACGAGCCAAAACTCTCGAGACCTCGCAACGCGATACTTTCGCGAGCGCGGATGTTTCGTTATCGTTTCGTTATTGTTTCGACGAGTTAGGAAAGTATCCATAGCGTCTATATAGAGCGGCATAGGTTGGAAGCAATTCGCCGGGACAGAGAGAAACTGTGCACGCGCTAAATTCGCCCCAGGATCTAGCGTGATTCCGCGGAACCGATGCCAGTAGTAACTTTCGTTTTGTTTAGACAGTGGGTCTACGAATGAGCGGTATCGTACTGTGGCCTCGTTGTTACCTAGCAGGAAGAGAACCCTCTAATGGTTGGTTTTAGAGACGCTTCGATTGCTACGAGCCTCTCCGAAAGCTCGGTTCAACGACCCCCATTTTCATTCAGCCTGCATCCGACTCGGTGCAAAATTTCCCTTCGAAATATCGCTTCGTTCATACGCCATTTCACGCTTCGGGTTTCCTCTAAGCGTGACACTATGAAAGTCTAATGTGCTCTCTTAGCTGCCTGCTACGACGTCGTTCAGTCGTACGGTTTAAATTCTCGTTTACGCTCTCTCGTTTACGGTCTCCCGTTTACAGTGCCTCGTTTACAGTCTCTCTCGTCCAGCGAAATTCGTAGAAAAATCAAACACCTCGGAGGGATGGTACCCGGATGATGGTACTTAGCCGGTGGTAATGGCTCTCGTTGGAACGGATTTGCGATTACCGCTATGGAATTTGCCGAAAGTGAATAGGAGAGAAAAGAGAGAGAGAGAGAGCGATCGTTCCAAAGTGTAAAACCAATAAGATGGCGCGAGTGGAAAGAACGGTAGCAGAAGGGAGGAACGTCGAAACTAACTTTAGCAAAGAAGTAGGCTGCAGCTGTTTCCTCCGGCTTCCACGCTATAGTCGATTAGCCGATTCGTCTCGCGGATCGCGATTCGTCCTCGTTCGCGTTACGAAACTCTCGCAAGGGAAAAAAGGGTTCGCGGGGTGGTCGGGGGAGGAAAATCACGGACGCGAGCGAGGGAGGAAGGAATCTGCGAATATTTGGAAAGGTATGGGCGTCGAAGGCTCGCGTTACTTTTAGAAATTCACGGGAATCATGTCTGTCGAACGGATCCGAAAATATAACATCTCGTCGGGCGCCTCGTCATGGCCCCGAACAAGCAACTTTCGACCCAATTTCTACCTGCCTTGGAGATTCGGCATTCGCGTGAATTCTCGAGGGGTGGTCGAGAAACGCGCGGACGAGGGAAAGGGAGATCGGTCATCGTTTTGTCGGGCAAATCGTCGATCTCGTAAGACGAGACCGCAATTAGCGGAGAGGCGCCGAACGGAAAGAATCGGATGTGCCAAGATCGTAAATACCCCGAAGCTGTCTCGCGCATACGTAAATACGTTTTGAGGGAAAAACTGTAGACGCGGAACGCGTGGAAGATAGACGGACGTTGGACAGAGAAACGTGGTCGGTTGAGAGATGGAGAATGAAAATAGAGAAGGAGAGGTTCTCGATTCTATTTCCACGTCGACCAGTCAGACGCGTATGCGTGGGCAGAAGAAGAAAACTGAGCGATCGGACAGCTAGAACAGCCGTAGTTGTCTGTTTCTCTTATCGGACGAGCGCGCGTGATCGCGCGTGAACGTGGCCAAAAATAGCCAGCATTCCGCGACGATTATTATTAGTTAGCCGCATTCGATGCGTGCACCTAAACATTATCGACGAAACTGCTAGTTTCGTTACGGTTGCCTCTCCCCTGCTGCCACCGACGTCTCTGTGTCCCACCGATCTCGGTTAGCGTAAGAATGAGAAAAATTGAAAGTTTGGTCACACACGCATGCATCGGCAAGGCAATTCGCAAGCAATTCGCAAGGCAATTGGCAAGGCATTGGCAGGGATCGCGCGGTATCCGCGGAGACGGAGCAAATCACTCACCCTTCTCTTTCTGACTCTTCCGCAGCTAAAGCCATATGAAAAAGAAGAAAGCATAGTAAGCGAAGCGAACGAAGAGGTAGAGAAGAAAGTATATAAGAAGCGTTAAAGAGACGAAATAAAAAGAAAAAGAAAAAGAAAAAGAAAAAGTAAAAGAAAGATAGAGAAAAGAAGAAAGAAAAGGGAAAAAGAGCCTGGAGAAGCGACAAACGTTCATCTTTCGAGAGGCATTCGATCGTCGAACTTACTTCTCCCTAGGCTCATCGACAGCTGGAAAATAAGGAAATTTTATTTCGAAACGTCGACACGGTTTGAACGGGAAGAAAAAGGGTTACGCAGACGGCGAAACGCGATAAAGGGGGAAGACGGTATTTCGGTTATAAGGACACGCACCGAGTTCGAGACCGAAAACGAAAGGGTCAAGAACGTTTCTATTAAAAGAACAATCTTTCGGGTGGCGAACGTTAAAGTAACGCGTAACGCGTTGCGCAATGTGACGCAATGCGCGATAGGGGGAAAAAATAAGTAGCGACAAGCGCCAGGTACTCACGGCTGAAATTCAGGTTAATCGAAGCCGCGACCTCGCCCATCTTGTTCTTGGCCTTGACCTTGTACAGGCCGGCGTCGGTCTCGATAACGTCGTCGAGCTCCAGCACCACGAGGAACTTGTTGGTCCCGATGCTCTGCATCCTGAAGTTGGTCCTGGCGTCCGGACTCAACTCGGTCTCGCCGCGGTACCATGATATCTCGGGTTTAGGCGAGCTGATCAGTTGACACTCGAAGATCAGTCGATTCCCGTCGTCCTCCTGCCTGAGTTGCGGCTTCTGGGTGAAGCTCGGCGCGAAATCGTCGGCGACCCCCATGGCGTTGGGTCGCCTTCGCCACTCCTCCCTTTACCGCGAACTTCTCGGGTGGCGCGCCACCCTCTCGCCTTCGGGATCGAGAGCTTTCCTCGCTCTTTCCTTTCCTTCCTTGCTTCCCGAGAAAACCTGCCCTATCTCTGCTTCCGATCGGTTCAAACGGCGCCGACCCGCGGCACCATCCAACCGATGCTCTCCTCCTCTCGCTGCTCGCGATCCTCCTCGGACCTGCCGTTTTCAGAGATCGTTTCTTTCTTAGAACTCGCCTCCTCCCTACTATCCTACTATCCTATCCGCTATTCTATCCGCTATTCTATCCGCTATTCTATCCGATAACTTGTCGTCCGACGAACGCGCGCGAGCAACGATTTTCCTCTTTGCCACTTAGCTACTAAGCGTTCGGAAGATTGATCGTCCGACGGAGATCGAGTTGGACGGAAGAAGATACGAGAAGAGTCTCCGATTTCGGGGGCTCGAGTAACACGAGCCAAATTATTATATTTCAAGCGTTACATCCAAATCCACGATACGATATATCGCGGCTGAGAAATTCAAAATAGATCTTTATGTAATTCGACGAAGAGCGTTTGTGTCTGCGATATCTCGGCTGCTCTCCGATTTCCTCTTCCTCCTTCCCTCCGATCTTTAGGAGTATTTTAGCGTCGAAGCGTGCCTCTGGAACGAACGGAGAATCGCGAGGATAGGCACCGATCGCGAGAACGGATGGTCGGAAAATCGTGGCGCCGATTCGATCGGCGAACGATGCTCGCGGATGGAACGGTGGAATCCGAGACTCCAAAGGTGGATTTTCAGGATTTTCCAACACGTCCAAGGCCGAATAATGACGCAACGCCTCTATTATTAATGCGACTCTTGGCTCGGAAATAGTCGAACCAGTTATCTTGGTAATCGGTTATTATGTTTGGCATCTAATAGCGAAAACGCTCGCGTTTGATTCACGACGTGGCTGGCGAATTGAAAGAAATTTCTCGGAAGGCTGGCGAAAAGAAAAATTGCAATTTTACGGCGAGGCAGATTTGCTCGACGCCAGCTGGGACAACAACCAACGGCAAAAGGATTTACGATCCAGACAACCGTTCAACCACCGTCCGACCATATTTCACAGATATTAACGCAACGTTCTCGAAAACATCGTCGCTGGGAGTGCTAAATATATGCCGCGATGCCTAAGCGCGATTATTCGAATGTCAGCGAAGAGGCGCGGCGAGCAATGCAAAGTCCGATGGACTAAAGAAACGCAAATCAGAACGAATGCACCAAGTGTTATAACGTCACGGTAAGACTTGGCAACGAGCCTCGAAACATTCCTAAGATTACTAGGCTTCGTAACACCCGTTCTCATTCTGTTCCTTTCCTGCGCTTCGTTTTCACCTTCGTCAACGTGGTAGCCCGACTACGATCCTCTTCCCTTCCATTCCACTACGTTCCATTCCATTCCGTTCGATCGCAATAATTTTCCCGAGGAAATGCAGCCAAACTCGACGCGAGAACGCGAACGCGTCGACACGATCCGAGTGATAGAAAGAGAGGTAAGATCTTTGAGTTTGATCTTTGAGAAGATCGGTGACGAGTTTGGGGAAAAGCGATCTGGGTTAGCGACCTCGATAACCTTTGATCTTTGAGAAGATCGGTGACGAGTTTGGGGAAAAGCGATCTGGGTTAGCGACCTCGATACTCGCTCACCGAAATTAAGATCAGAGTCGACCTTTCCAAACGGCGAGTTCCTTGCTCTTTGTTCGAGATACACTTTTGACAGGAGAGTTCTACGCGTGCCAAGTGAAGAAGGGAATGACCGAAGATCGAAAGGGACGTTTCAGCGCGATGTCGCGCCGCGGTCCAAGCTTATTTCCGATTCCGAAGGTTTCCCTCGAGGAACGGGACGAAACGCAAAGTCGCTCGATCCTGGATCGCGAGAAACGGATCCGTGGATGGTGGATCGCGACGAAATCGAGATGTTAACGATCGCGCATCGATTCGATGGGTACGGTTTGGCAATCACCTAGATCGAAGGTCGCGGTTGACCGATTTAAAAATAGTCCGTACTTGGAACGAGATGTACTCGAATTTTTGCGAATGGTAGAGATCGAGGGAACCTTGATCGACGTTATCTCGAAGGTAATGCTCGGTCTTTGGGAAGAAAAATATCGAGAAGGGTGTAGAGAGGGGCGATTTTATGTTCCACTCTAGAAAGAAGATGGCCGCGACGATTGATGGACCAACAGGTGTTTACCTCGGCACGCGATGTCTCAATATTTTCGCCCCCGACGACTTGGCATAATTTTATTGTCTCCTCCGCGATGTAATATATTCGATGACAGACTGACCCAATAACAAGTGGCACAATGTACACGCGGTTATAAAAAGCATGGAATGAATGAAGCACCGTTTAGCAATGACAAGACGAAAATATCGTTCGCGAACGATGTGGGGCTGTTTATTCGAGAAGTGAGAAAGGAGAGGAGCGATCGCGAGGCGATTTTCACGCTCCTCTCGAGATGTCGCGGAGAGGAAAGAGCTGTCGAGCAACGCGGATTCTTGGAAACGGATCCGCGGATTCCTGCGACGGTTTAGAGGACGGTATAGAAGAGGGATGAAGCGAGATCTCGGAGCCAAGCGGCGAGAAAAGTTCGTCGCTCGAATAGTCCCGTCACGAGGCAATGATTCACGTTTCGGATTACGAGCGAAGAAAGGATATTAAGTCATCGTGGGGCTAATACCGCGTAAGCTCGGCAAGCGCGCTAAATTCGACCTAGAAGTTATAATTATTGGTCGAGGCATGCCTTCCGTCGCTCTCTTCTTCCGTCTATACCACTATTTTCTCCGCGTCGCGCTTGTCGCAACGTCTATTTTCGTGCACTGACTCAAATCCATAGCGACACGAATCGTGCACCACCGAAATCTTTTCTTCCCTCGAGGACAGAGAAAACCGAGCGACGAAAATTATACGCGCGTATTTATAGCAGCGACCTATCGAACGGATAAGCAATGCCGAGCGGCGTTATGATGCATCCTCGAAGCTCGCTGTCAGAGATACAGCTAACGACCAACGTCAATCGGTCTAAAAAAGAAGAAACAGGCGAACGATATACGAATCCTCGGGTTTCAACGATGACGGGCAACCGCGAAAACAATGAATTAGTCATCGGGGCTAATTTTGAACGAGGCCTGACAATCAACAGGTGTAATTTTCGGGTTGGCCGACCATGAAATTTATAAATACCGTGAAATTACGCATCCAGTGGAAAGATCGGCGAGGAATTTTTGACAGGTCGCTCCATCTTTTCCCTCTTCCACCCTTCTCGTCGAGATACGCGCGTTGCGAGCGTCGTAACCCCGACGAAATGAAGGATGAACGATGAATCAGCTGATGCGAAAAAAGGGGGCGAAAAGAGAAAGAGCGAAAAAATATGGTTGGAAGGATGGTCGGACGGTGTAACGAGGCGACGAACCGTTCCTCCTCACGTTACGCCTTGCTAAAAATAAGCAGACTTCGAGCCTAGATACCTAGATAGTAGTCTACGAATAGTTCTTAGTGGTTGGACGCGAGCAGACTCGTGGCAATTACTGTCGAGCAACGCGGATTCTTGGAAACGGATCCGCGGATTCCTGCGACGGTTTAGAGGACGGTATAGAAGAGGGATGAAGCGAGATCTCGGAGCCAAGCGGCGAGAAAAGTTCGTCGCTCGAATAGTCCCGTCACGAGGCAATGATTCACGTTTCGGATTACGAGCGAAGAAAGGATATTAAGTCATCGTGGGGCTAATACCGCGTAAGCTCGGCAAGCGCGCTAAATTCGACCTAGAAGTTATAATTATTGGTCGAGGCATGCCTTCCGTCGCTCTCTTCTTCCGTCTATACCACTATTTTCTCCGCGTCGCGCTTGTCGCAACGTCTATTTTCGTGCACTGACTCAAATCCATAGCGACACGAATCGTGCACCACCGAAATCTTTTCTTCCCTCGAGGACAGAGAAAACCGAGCGACGAAAATTATACGCGCGTATTTATAGCAGCGACCTATCGAACGGATAAGCAATGCCGAGCGGCGTTATGATGCATCCTCGAAGCTCGCTGTCAGAGATACAGCTAACGACCAACGTCAATCGGTCTAAAAAAGAAGAAACAGGCGAACGATATACGAATCCTCGGGTTTCAACGATGACGGGCAACCGCGAAAACAATGAATTAGTCATCGGGGCTAATTTTGAACGAGGCCTGACAATCAACAGGTGTAATTTTCGGGTTGGCCGACCATGAAATTTATAAATACCGTGAAATTACGCATCCAGTGGAAAGATCGGCGAGGAATTTTTGACAGGTCGCTCCATCTTTTCCCTCTTCCACCCTTCTCGTCGAGATACGCGCGTTGCGAGCGTCGTAACCCCGACGAAATGAAGGATGAACGATGAATCAGCTGATGCGAAAAAAGGGGGCGAAAAGAGAAAGAGCGAAAAAATATGGTTGGAAGGATGGTCGGACGGTGTAACGAGGCGACGAACCGTTCCTCCTCACGTTACGCCTTGCTAAAAATAAGCAGACTTCGAGCCTAGATACCTAGATAGTAGTCTACGAATAGTTCTTAGTGGTTGGACGCGAGCAGACTCGTGGCAATTAGTCACCAAGACGCTAGACGATCGTTTCGACGATGAACGAGAGAAATTGCTTCCGATCGAACGTTACACCCGATGAAATCTGCTCGTCGGGACCTTGACGCCCCCTCGTCCTATGACATTGTTTCTCTCTCGAAACGACACGGGTGTCAAGGTCGTCGCGACGATCCTCGCGATCGACTGGAGAATCCAGCGCCCCGATGGATCCACGCGTGCCTAAGGGGCTAGAGACCGGTAATCGTTGACCGATACCACTCGCGCGTTACGTTGCTCGCGCACTCGACTCGCAACCTTCGAACCCCGCGTGTCTTCCGGTGAAATTAGCGAAATTGCCACGCGCACAAGGATCGAAGAATCGTCCGATCGAGAGGGTGGTTACGCACCTGATCCAACGATCTCCAAGGGAATACGAACGAGTACGACACTTGCTCGTGTGCCCGCGAACGAAACGTAACACTTCGAAGCACTGAAGCACCAAAAGCACCCACGATTCACCATAGAGAAAGGAGCAAACGTCGTACGACGAGGGATATCGACGAAGGATAAGAGAAAGATGGAAGATTGGAAAGAAAGAGAGAAAGAAGAGAGGAGACGGCGTAAAGGGTGAAAGGGAAGGGCGCACTATGTACTTGGTCGAATTTTCGCAGGTTCGCGTGCTCGCTCGTATACCCTCTCTCGATCAAGAATCCAGTCTGTCAAAGAGGAAAACTTACTTGATGCGAGCGGTGAAATATCCGAATAAACTGGAGGCAATTAAGAACCGTGGTGGTCCCCCGTGGACAGTGGAAATCCTGGATTCCTCGGCGAGTTTAACGTTGATCCTGAGCTCCTCCGTGGGTCGAGCTCGCGGCTCGTACACGCGGTTCGCGCACTTTGATTCTCGAAAGTCGAAGCGAAATGCAGGCCGCGAACGAAAGTGAAAAAGAAGTGAGTGAGAGAGAGAGAGAGAGAGAGAGAGAAATGAAAAAGGCGGAAAGAAAGATGAGAGAAATATAAATTTCTTTAATATTCGATCGTCTTCGTCGTGGTCGTCGTCACTGTGTGGTCGTCGCTCCGTTTAGAATATATCCTGTTCGTTAGGCCCTGTCTCCTGTCTCTCCTTTTATACGGAGCGCCTGTCTTGGCCGTCCCAGTCACCGGGGCCCCGCGCGCCAACTAACCGCACGAAATATCGCCGTGACACCTCGACGTCGAGACCAGCACCTCTGCGTCGGCGCGACTTCCACGATAACCGTTTCTCCCTCAACCCCCCACCCTGCCACGCCTACGCTGCCGAATTTCGAGGCTGACTCCTGACACTGTCAGGCCAACCGGGGTCCTGCTCGATTTTCCCCCCCGATCGCGCAGGATCCGCACCCCCGTCTGCTCGTTGCCACCGCGCACCCCTTGCTCCATCCTCCGCCCACCTATCCTATCCAATCATCCTCCACCCCTCGCGTCTGCGCTATTCCTCGTCCTACCCTTATTCTTGGCACTTCCGTTGCTATTGAACTTGAAACCTCGTAATTAGTGGGGATCGAGGTATTCGCCACCGATGAGGTTGAAACCGCCGTGCGAAAATAACAAGCGGACCGAATGCGCACCGAATGATCGATCCTCGCGGACCGGTTCACCCTCACGACGGATCCCGTCGTCCTTCGCGTCAGGCGAATTTTCCATCTTTCCCCTTTGCTTCTTTCTCGATCTCCGTCTACCGATTCGTCCGCGAAGTGTAACGGCATTGCTGCCGTTAGCAGCGGGCCGGAGGGGAGAAGGGAAAAGATAAACGACCTTATAGCAGGTTAATTGCTGCTGCAACTAATTTAGCCGGATGACGGAACGTCGGAGAAGTGAGCGTGCGAGAATTTTTCGTTGACGTCCTCGGATCGAAATTAGACCGCGTGTAGCAACTTTATGCTTATTCTTATCTTCGAATACCGCCAAAGTATCGTATCGAGCCCAGGGCGTATCGATGTATCCGATTAAGCGCCAATGTCTCGTCGGTTAGAGGCCGAGCGATTAATCGTTCTTGGACCGTGGAGGGTGGAGAATTCGGTTAGGTTCGATGGCTGAACAAAAGTAGAAAGATATTAACAGTGGTAGGAAATAGAACATCGCGCGAAGGAGAAGAAGTGGGTCTTGGCCACTGTTCTCGACGAAAATAAGTTTTCCGGTCGCATCGGCAGATCCGACCACCGATCCGCCCTTTTTTCCCCGTGCATAGCGTTTTCGGGATAGCACCTTCGATTCGACTCGATTCGCGGATCGGCTCGGCTCGCGGACACGCTCGGCTCTGGGAGGTATTCGAACTTCTATGAGACATTTTTGGCCAGCTTTCAAAACTTCGATCGAGTGCGCCGTGTCGATATCTCCTCGAATTTCCTTCGATTTCTCCTCTGACTAATACAGTTTACGTTTCCTCTTACTCTCCTTTCGTCGAGCTGCCTCTTCCACGCGAATCCAGCCTCGCGAGTATCGACATTCGATAGAACATCTCGCCATCTTCTCTCTACTCTGCCTCTCCGATTTTTCTCTCTCGTGCTGGAAACCCGATCGAATTCTGGAATCGAATCGCGAGTAGCGTGAAAGAAAATTCGGGAGCTAGGACAAAATTCGAGACAGCATCTTTTCAGAGAAACTTCGCGGTCCATCGAGCGGAAAGACCGGAAGGACCGACGATCCCGGATCTGAAATGAAAACCAGGGATTTTTCGACGCGCGTCTCGAAACGTTGCGATACGTTCTGGACGAGGGTAACAAACAAGACACGGCGAGAAGGATAAAGAGGAAAAGCTCGAAGGAGAAATCTCGCATGCGGTGTCGAGATACGAGTCTCTCTCGGTTCTGGCAAGCCGAGCACTTTTCTAAATATACACGATCGCCCCTCACCGCTGAATCTATCTTTGCGTATTAGAATCTATACCTAACGACCTGAACACTCGCGCTTCCACTGTTCCACGTCGCGGATATCCACAAAGTCGATCCACCTTAATATTACCTCACCGACCCTTTTCCTCGCGGTGACGAATCGGCGTCTTTCGTCGATCGCGATCGCGGCTGCCTGGAATCCCGCAAATCCGAGCAATTCGCGCGTATCCTCGAATACTTCGAGGTGTCGCAAATGCTAGATGAATAATAGTCCCGAGAATGTCCTATCGGCTTCCTCGACCTTCCGCTGGTCGACGTTGATCCGAATCCGTCGCTCGATTGTTTTTAGCTTTACCGTGTACGGACAGGAACGTGTCAACGTAATTCCGATGATGTCTCGCTAAATTTGTCAAAACGTGTCATAGGTTATTAACGAGGAGGATATGAAAATAGAGCGGAATCTCGAGTAGCGTTTCGGGGAGCAGGTTCTCGACTATGAACAAGAATCGGGATAGAAAGAGTGCGGGGGGAAATACCGAGAGAGACTTTGTCAGGGAAACGCAACATCGGGTCTATTCGCGTATCCGTGATCCACGGCTGGCGACCGTGAAAGCCGGACTGGAACGATCGAGAATGGAAGGCCGGTAGGATGGAATCGGATGTTGAGGGTGATTTACGAAGAAGGATAGAGGTTTGGCGGTGGGCAAATAAGCAGATCTACGGTGCTAGGTAAATTTGGCGGTTTCGCGGAAAGGAAAACACGCCGGTCAAAGGAGAAAAATGCCAGAGAACGTTGAAGCACGGCGAGCTGAGCTGGCTAGGTTTACCTTACGGTAATGGCACTCGAGTGTCGAAACTGCATCGCGTTCTCATGCTAATTCCGATGAATCGCCGCGGACACGTACCGGGCGAGGAACGCGCGCGTAACAACGCAGGCTTTTGCGACCGTGACGTACTTTTCTCGCTATACTCTGGAGCGCCGTTACATCCTTGGCTCTGCCCTTTGCGACCTGCGCCTAAAAATAATCGGAGAAAACCAGGGAAAATCTTCCAGAAGCCACGTGGATTACTCATTGCGCGTTACGTTGCTTCCACGACGCAACCTGGTTTAGGCGCTCGACGTGCCTCGAGACAGCACGCTCCTCCGCTTCCGTTCCTACGTGCATGTAACCGCGAGAAAGAGAGGAAAAGAGAGAGAGAGACTCGCAGCGAATGAACCACGTCGCTAAAATTTCTCGCGCTTTATGCTGGAAATATTTTTAGGACGCCTCGCTTTTAGCTCGAAACGCGAAAAAATAAATGCGATCCGTGACTCTGTCGGCTTATTACGTTGCAACCGAACACGCGGGATCGCTGCTTCCTCCTAGTGCTTTCAGCTAGAGTACCTCGTCTCGTATCGCGCTGTCGATCCATCGAGTATGCTCGTCGTGCCCGAGGATCCAGAGTCCGAAAAACAAGCATCTGTTTATCTCGTCGGAATACAGGCTGCGCTTTCTCACCACCGACCTAAATACAGAGTCGCGTTTATCTGCCGGTCGTGTCTTTATGCCACCATCGACGTGGCACAACCGCGCATTTGCATTGGCAATTTACATTGCCAAACGGCACGATACTCGTGGCCGTGGTTGGTTCGGGGGACCACGATCCCCGAGAGGGAAAATCGGCCTTTCTCCGGAGAGCGAAGGGACTATAAGAGGGACGATAAGAGTAGCCGCGAGTCGCTTATTTGTTCGTTTATCGGATTTTCTTGCGAGCGAGTGGACCCGAGTGGGCGAATGGCTCGAGTATATGGAACAGCCGATCTAAACTTAGTCGTTGGTCCGTTCTGGAAATAGATGTTATGAGTGCGAGGACAGGACAAGATACCGGCCCCTATTATGCGTACGGCCACGTATCGCAAACGATCCCCTTTCGATTCGCCCTGCAGTCGCGAAGTCCTTCTACAGCCACCATCTTCTTCGTCGCGATCCACAGCGCGGTTACATACGCGCGTGGCTGACCAGTGCGACGTTTTTCTCCTTCGCGTTAGCGCTAATCACTGCCCACCACGTTCCTGGGATCGTAATAACTCCGCAAATTCGTGCGATGCAATTATTTCTTCAAAATTCCCATCGCGAAAATTCGGCAATTATCTTGGGGATTAGCGGAAGTCTCGTAGACAATGGCACGCATGGCGTCTAACTCCACGCATGCATCCACTGTTTACAAATTTCCGCTAGTTATAGTTAGATGGCTGTAGCGCGAAAGTGTCTGCAAAGTGTTTGTCGCGTATATCGAAGCTTCTATTTAGCGAGCTGATGTCTATTTCGGGAAAAATTGCATCTTCGAATAACGCGTTGGAAAGCAGCACAGTGAACGCGTATCGTGCTGGGTTAAAATAACGTCAACGGTTGTAGCGAGTATCTCCAAGTGTCATAACCATGCGGCCCACTGGAATCGCCATTTCGAATACTCGCCTCGACGCGAGGGGAACCGGACAAATATTTCGGGAAGAAGAAATCTTGTAAACAGGCCTGGTTGACGTAAGACGTTATCGGAGGGAAATATTCGTAAGCCGGGATTGGGAAAAGAAGGTTGGAACGTCGAGAAAATGGGAGACGATGGTCGAGAGGAATTCGATATTTTGATCGATGTCGTTACGCTCGTTCCGATTGCAACTCTTTCATCATCTTCGAGAAATAAACTCTCGGCCAGGCGGAGCAGTGGAAGAATCGAATTGTCGAGTATAAAAGCGCGTATAAAAATGATAAACCTGGAAACGAAGACTCCACGATTCTGCATTTCTCGTCCCTCTATTCTTAGACCACGAAACTCCCACGCGGTTACTTAATATCCCAGACACGTACTATTTACCGATGCTCCGAGCGATTTGACAATTTTATCGTAATAGGAACGGATGGACGAGAAAATAGGCGTTCGGAAGTTGCAAACTATCGTAGATCGTAACTCGCGATATCGACTTTCGATCGGTCTCGCTACGCGGTTAACCTATCTTTTCGTTGGTCGGGCACGTCTACAGCGACGATTCGCGGCTACGTTATACTCGTGGGTAACGCGTAACGAGATCGAAAAGCCGACTCGATATCGAGAGTGGATGAGACGATCGGCACGATTCCAAAAAACAGGCAATCCCCGATAATCTCGAAATAACGAGAACCTCTCCCCTTCTCTCGCGCCACATCGCGACGACACGCCGCGCTACGTACTACCGTCTTCGTCGCATGGATGGCGCTGCTGTAGTTCTCTCTCCTTTTCACCCATGGCTGCACGACCATTGGTATTTTTGGTCGTGGCGCGACGAAGAAAATGCGATTTCTGCGTGCATACGAACGACCGAGATCGCGAATCGTCGTGTGGGAAAGAGAAAGACCATAGAGGAGTTGGACCGAGATGTGCGAGTGTATACGCGCGAGTTTGAAAAAGAAAAGAAGAGGGAAGGAGAAAGATAGAGAAAAAGGGAGACAGAGAAAGGGGAGGATGAAGAGAGAGAAAGAGATGGAGAGAGAAAGAGAGAAAAGTTGGAGGAACAAGGAGAGCAAATATCATCGTGAAAACGGCTAGCGCCGTCGGCGTAACCTGAGAGCATTTCGGACCCCGCAACCATATATGTCCGCCTCGCGCTCTCTCTCTCACTCGCGCTACGCTCAATTCCGTTCTGCTCTCTTGCTTACACTTATCGCCCAAAGAATCTGCGTTGCACGCTTCTTCCATCACTTTTTCATCCTATCGCCGATTCGCTTCGCCGTTATTAATTTTCCGCTAATTTATTCTCTTCTTCGTCTGCTAACCTTCGCCATCTACTCCTATCCCTTTACTGCCACCGTTAACTGTCGTTATACTATTCCGAAAATATGTACGCCAAGCTTTTTCCCCTGTAATACAACTTTTCGCGATGGTCCCTTCAAAACATATAAATAAAATTTGGAACTCGTACAAATCGAAATACCAGTAGAGAAACTATGCGTGAAAACGAAGTAAACTATGTACATATGTAAAAATATGATGATACGTGATTGTTACGGACACAAAAATCAGGAAATTATCAGCGATATACGTTGCACATACTCTACGCGTTTTCGGTATTAACGTTTCTGTAATGATCAATTTGTTATCGACTTTACTCTTTGTCCAAACAACATTTTTTCACTGTAGAAATAAATACAACTTATCTCGAGTTACGATTAAGTCAGCACGATGATCAAATGATCGTAAGAACTGTGCTTGAGAAAAGTTTTAATATAACTTTTTATAAATTTATTAAAATACATTTTTTTATCACAAAGTTTGAGGCCTCTAGAGTTAAAATCTTAGCATGTTTTGGTCACTTCCAACATTACCGATTCGATACGGAATAAGTTGACAAAGCCTCTAGTGGTAGGAATTAAAATCAAATATGGTAATGGTGGTAAGCCGAAATGCAAAAGATATATATATCGTACGTTTGGCTTTCATCTCGAAAATTCGAATACGCTATACCATTCTAGTGTCACTTTCAACGTTACCGATCCAACATTGAATAAAATCGTGGACGATTATCTGTGATAAATGCGACACTGAAACTACGAATAAAGTATAAGATAAGATTACCGTATTCCAATTAACGAGTTTCTCAAAATATAAGAGTATCTCGTAACATTCAAAATTATTTATTTAAAGTTGCATAAAATAAAAATTATAATTCATCCGAAAATGTCGTTTGCGATTACAGTGTCGGCCCCATACAGCCCCATTATTCCTACCACTTCTATATTATCCAAATTCGTTATTAATATCCAAGCTTGTTAGTTTAATTCGTGCGTTTCCCAACTTGCCGTTCGTCGATAATGTATGAAACAACGTTATCTGCAAATGGTAAGTCAGTAATTTTGGTTTCTTCGCAAACGTTTTATATTTTAATATAAAAATGTGTGGTAAAACAGAGGTCTGTCTTATTGATGTCTGTTTTATCGACTTATGTTTTATCGGTTTGGAGAGTCGTATCATAGATGGCACAACGAAACCACCATGTTTTGCAAAATCGATTTTCGAAAAACGAGACTCAATGTTTAACAAAGCGACGAGTTTATCTTTTTGGGTGATCATAGTTACTCGTTCCAATGGTAAAATTAATACACGCGTAAGTTTCACGTAGTAACCTACGACGAAATCTTTCGTTAAATGCTCGAGTGGATATCAGATCATATAAAATAAAATGTCTGTTAGCAAAAAGTCAAATTATATTCTTAATTGTATCGTAAACCGTGATACGACAAAATCTATACTTTTCGAGAATGATCACTGTCGTTAGAATAACAGAGTCCATGGAGGAATGGCGAAGGAAGGTTGCAGAAAAGAACGTAAAATGTATACGTACAATACTATTTATACAAACATGTACGTAAATGAACATAATCAGATGAACAACGTACAACTAAGTCTTGTCGTCAAACATAATGCTTAAAGTTACGCTTACAAGATACATTGGACATGTGCAATAATCGTAACAATGTGTGTAGTTAACTCTTATTCAGAGCATTTATATACATTTCAAGGAATCGGTGCAATAGTTCGCGTGGAAAAGTAAAAATTTCAAAATCACGAGATACAGTTTATAGTTTTAAATTAGCCAGCAGTACACTCGCTTGCTTTTTAATTTCAATACAGTATCGTAAACTGTCTCGGGCGAGTGATATATATCGACGGTCGGCGATATAAATCTGTTGTGCGAAATAAAACATTACGACGATGGTTCGTTTGT